CCTAATTATCTCCCAAACTATTAATGTTAGGTATGGGACATATGGGATATAAAAGATGTAGAATGAGACGCCGAAGACGACTAAGTAATAAAATATGGGGGGTGCCATTTAAAAAAATGAAGTTATGGTACTTCCAAATTTTGAAAAGTTAACGTGCCATAGTAAAGTAACCAAACGTTCTAGATAACCGTTCTCGGCACCAAAACATACTCCATCATGTTGTTTAAGCATATTCTGAATCCTAAATTGATATCCCAAAAATCGAGTGTTCTCTGATTTTTTTAACAAATGTCTGCTGGAGCAGATTTTTCTAGAAAAATTCGAATAACTCGAGAACGGCCGTATCAAATTGCAAAAAGTAAAGTTATTTATAAACCCTGAAAACAGACAAAGCCAAATATGTAAAAATATACAGGGTGTTCCATTTAAAAAAATAAAGTAGGTGACGACTTCCGCTTATACCGGAAGTGCAAGAAATCTGAAAATATTTTAGTCGATGAGATCGTAATTGATAATACTTAAGTCTGAATTCTCTAATTTTTATTTTCGCCAGAACCCCAGAAACGTCTAATGACCGGTCTCGCTGAGACACCCTGCATACATATACACAGACAGCGTTGATAATTTTTGACATCTTTTAATATAGAGCATCTCGAGTGTCAAAACATCTTTAGCATCATGCTTCATGGTTCATCTTCAACCTAACACATAACACAGATCCGTAGAGATACTTTGAAGTCTTTTACATTTGTCCACAGGGTTCAATTCTAATACTAAAGCTTTTCTAATGTTGTAAGGTTATAAAGATCACTTTATAGATCACTGACATCTCTTTTTGTGATTCATCTGTAGGCTGAAAATGCCACCAGCTCCATAAGTATGGTTTGAACGTTCTGACACCTCTCTTTGTGGTTTACAAGCATAGTTAAAGATGTCTGACATATCTCTGCATGGAGCATTTCCTGTATTTGTGGTTTACCTGTAGCCTAAAAACACATCCTGGTTCATAGGTATGGTTGAAAATATCTGCAATCTCTCTACATGAAACATCTCATGTACCAAAACATCTTCTTGTAGTATATCTTTTACTTAAAAACACCTTCAAATTATATCTATATAATCATATCTGGATTGAAAATCTTTGCCAACTCTGTACATGGGGTATTTTTGATATCGAACGACTTCAAGCTTATGTACTGATTGAAAACTTTTGATTCTTGGGAAAATGTTTACATTACATTACATTACATAGAATACATATCGGGTAGGCGGACCAACCAACCTTGCACCGCGACCCTAAGGATCTATTGTACCCCGATAGATATCGTTATCAAATTTTACCATGCAGTCCAATGCTCTTAACGAACATTAACACCTTGCTCGGCGAAAGGTCATTCAGATCTTTTGAGGAGATAAACTGCGACCCAAAAATCGAGAATCTGATACGGTTAACGGCAGGGCAGTGGCATAAAACATGCTCAACCGTCTCTGCTTCCTCCGCACATAGTCGGCATTCAACATCGTCGGCTAAACCCAACAAGTTGAGGTGTGCTTTTAATCGGCAGTGCCCAGTAAAAACACCCATTAGAACTTTTATGCTACTACGGGCAAGTCCTAAAATATTCCCGGGTTTGACAGTGGCGATGTTAATAAACACCTTAGCATGTCTCATTCCAGGAGAACTGGTCCACAGTAGGCGAAGTCTCTCTTCAGCCCACAGTCCAATCCTATATTTGGCCATCGCAAATGATACACCAACTGCTGGTTCCGGTCCCACAAACGCTTCAGCGCTGCCATCTCGTGCTAGCTTATCTGCCGCTTCATTGCCAGCAACCCCAGAGTGACCCGGGACCCAGATCAGAGAGACTCTGTTATCACAACTCAGTGTGTTTAATGTTCTCTTACAATCATTAACCAGAGCCGACACCGTTTTCACGGCTTGCAGCGCCTGGAGAGCGGCTTGACTGTCTGAGAAAATTCGTACTGTCATGTTCTTCACCCCTCTTTCAAGAAGGATTTTAGCACCCATGTCAATAGCAAATACTTCCGCCTGGAATACAGTACAGTACGTACCCAGGCTGTAGGCTTGCTTAATTCGAGGTGTCTGGCAGTATACTCCTGCTCCTACCCCTTCAGGCGTTTTTGATCCATCTGTGTACAAGCAAATGTCTGCCCGAATCAGAGAATTTTCATTTTCGATCCAGGACTGCCGCTCAGGCAGTACAATCTGGTATTGAGCATTAATCACTGATAGTGATACCGCCAAATCTGACGGCATTGATAACACAGTATCAGTGCTTATAATGTCTTCCGCAGCCCATTGGTAGAACATGTCGGAACAGTTGTGAGCATATTGCTTAAATCTGTAAATGGTTGTTCTAGCTACTTTCTCTATATGCAAATGCAGGCCGTGATCGTCTAGTGGTTAGGACCCTACGTTGTGGGAAAATGTTTAGTATCAATGTCTCTCTAGCATCATAACTATACCAGCGTAACTCTAATATATATTTTTGTCTATAGACGTTTAACGTTTACAATTTGTGGCAGCAGCATGGAGGGAAATTATTCGATTAGTAACTCTCAATCTCCAATATACAATACATTTCAATCCTAACACTTCAAATGTCATTAATTCCAATTTTATTTTTCATACATAACAGTTATTGATGATTTTCAATATTTTAGAGTGCACGAATGGAAGCTCAATCCAGAACGCATCAACTCTTAGTGCATAATCGAGAACTTTTGGATCATATAGCAGCGTTGGTGGCTCATTTACAAGGAGGTGAAAAAGTGCCAGGCCAACAATCGAACTCTCCACATGTCGCTATGCCACAGGTAAATCTACATTTAAAATAAATTAAACCAATTTTAATTTTTTTATTTTTGTTGCTTGAATTTATAATAACGATTTTTTTCCTTTTTATTTTATATCTTTATTTTATTCTCAGTGCATGAAAAATTATGTTCGTTATTAGTGTAATGTGATTGTTTGACGTGAATTGACGTGATTTGTTTGATCGTGTTGTGTGCAGGCCTTGCATAGTGGAAATAACAATAACAAGAAAATGTCACCGCCAACAACTAGCTAGGTAATAGCTGCTTAAATTAATAATATATCCTTTATGAATTAAAAGTGATTAATATTTTTATTTATTAACAGCAATCATTCAACAATTCTCCTGAACATCAAGATCATTCGGCGTTAGATCACACGGTTCTTCAAGCTCTCGGGTTAAATCCACACGATTTAATCGAAAATCCAATGGTGACGTCTCGTTTACCATCTTCTCCATTAAGAACATCATTCAATCCGCAAAATAATCTTTTCAATTTCCCCATGCAAGATTTTTCCCTTGAAACGCAGCTATTACAAAGATTACAAACTCTTTGTGGGTACACCCCGCCACAATATAATTATATGAACCAACCGTTACCATTCCTATCGAATCTTTACGGACAAGGAATGGTTAATAATAATTACACGTTACAACCACCGCCTCAAAAAAGGTTACCACCTTCTCCATTAGCTGTTAGACATTCCTATTCGACCAGTCCGATTATGGACAGCAGAATATCGCCATCGAAAAACGATTCGTTACAAAATATACATCAAGTGTATCAAGCACAACAGAATTTACAAAGCCAGAATTACTGTAATCAAAATTATCAATCGAATCAAAGTTTAAATCAGATTCCTCAACAAAATAGCCAACATTTGCAAGTACAAGGTGGTCCTCAACAACGTCAATCGCCGCAAAGAAATTTGTCGCCGAAAACCGAGCGAAGTGGTGAACCTCAATTTATTAAACCTTTGTCTCAAATGGGGACGTTGACTACGACCGATACCGATGGGCGAGTTCGCGTAATCGTTCCAGTTCCATCAGCGGATGAAGCCACAAATATGATGTCGCAGATGAGATTAGAAGACTATAGACCGAATGTGCCGACCATCACGAGGTCGACTAGCGAAAAAGTGCCCAACAGAAGCGAGCTGATGTCGCAAGTTCAGCGAACCGCGTGGGCTAGACATACCACAAAATGACTGTTGAACTGTAATAGTGGTTTTTACATTTTCTTTTTCGTGTTTTTATTAATTTGGTAACTGACTGAATATTCGTATAAATGTAAATAAAATAAAAAGGTCAAATATTATTAATTTAATTTTTTTCGTGTATTGTATATATTACTATTAATACAATAAAAGATTTAGTTAGATTAGGATGTAGGTTTCCCCCTCTCTTTCAAGTTGATTATTTGATTTGGTTTCGCGGAGCGGAGAAATAAAAAAGAAGTGTTCATCGATAATTTTGCGGTTTTAGGATGAAAAATATGTACCCCTATTATTTTTTATATTAAATGTTTCCCAAAGAATAAATGTTTTATTTTAATTCTTATTATTTAAAAACGTACAAAAAAATAATAAAAGATACCTTTTACTCATTCAATTTTTCTGTCATTTAATCTGTCATCATCAAAATTTCTTCATACGTGCATAAACCCATTTAGAAAATGCTAAGCTTCAAAATCTCACGTACACTTTCATTATCTCTATATTCAATAAGATTATTTAGCAAAACAAGTTCGAACGAATTTCGTTTCGTGCAATTTTATAGATTATCCGATCAAACCAAAAACGTGGGAATCCAACCTGAACCTAATGGAGATATCTTAAACCTTACAGCTAGCGGATTGCCAAATACTCTGATTAAATGTCTTGAAATTCCAGAATTTATGCAAATAGCTTTGGGGCTATACAAAGAAGAAGAAAATGTTGATTCTAAATACAACGCCCATTTATTACCGCCAATTACAAATCCTGACAAAATAATTTGTGCCGGTGCAAATTATCAAGGTTACTGCCAAGCTTCGAAAATCCCCATACCACAACGACCGGTAATTTTCAGTAAATATCCATCGACCATTATCGGACCGAATGATACAATAAACATTCCCTCTGTGAGCGCAGAAGTTGATTGGGAAGCTGAATTAGCCGTTATCATTGGTGCACCCTGTAAGAATGTAACGGTACAAGACGCTGACAATTACATTTTTGGATACACCTTGGCTCAAGATATCACCGCTCGCGATTGGAATACCATAAATGGGGGACAATTTGTTTTGGGTAAATCCATGGACACATTTTGCCCCTTAGGACCTGCAATTATTTCTAAAGACGAAGTAGACACAAATGAATTGCAAATTAAATGTTTATTGAATGGTCAGCTTAAGCAAGATGGCACTACCGCGGATCTTATTTTCAAAATCGATTATTTAATTTCGTATCTATCCAAATTGATGACTTTGTTGCCGGGGGACGTTATTTTAACGGGAACTCCACAAGGCGTTGCTAGTCATACGAATCCACCAAGATTCCTTAAATGTGGTGATGTTTTAAAAACTGAAATTGAAGGTATTGGTGAAATGGTCAACATGGTTGTATAAATGTAAAGCCACTTAAGCTGTGTTTCGGTCACATTTCCGACAAAGTGATTGATCATAACAATATGTTGTTATAATGGAAACTTACTCTTATGATAAACACATTACATAAGTGTAATTAGTGCCCAATTGATGAGTATCTAATTATGTAGTCATAATATTTCTACATATATAATGTGCATTTGCTAACTGTAATTATTAATTCTAATAAAGTGTAATTTCCCAATTTTTCTGTCAGTTACTATTAGGTAATGAGAATTATTTAATATTTCCTAAAATGATTAAAGTGTAAATTAACTTGCTACCTAATAAAATCAAAAATTATTACTATTTCCTTTATTCTGAACCTGAACAGCGCACGTATTCAATGTTCGCGCTAATTATAATTCAATTAAGGCCAGCCATCTTTTGTAACGTTAAATTTAATCATATCGATTTTATAGCAATTATCCTAAATATTACTATTTCAGTACCGTCAGTTGCAAATAGTGTTTATATTTTCAAGATTAAAATTGAAAATCGAGGTGTATTTTGCTTTTAATACTATTCTTTGAGATCTATCTTTCAAAACAGATACTTCAACAGAAAGATGCAACACAAACAGGTGTATGTTTGTAGGAAACTCGATATCGACCGATTTTATTACGGATGTACGAAACAAACGAAATGTGCGGTCTGTCAGTTTATTTACCGAGAAAGTTCTTGAATAACTGAACAATTTCAAGTCTTAAACATCCAATACTTTTCGTACGACGTTCGTGGTTAAGGGGGTGGAACGCGCCTTAATACCAGTGTTGTTAAATACTCGGGTATTTATTTTAAAGGGAAAATTTCCTGGATATATACCCGGGGGTATTTACCCAAGATGGGTATTTAGAGGTATTTATAAAATTTGATTTAAATTGAGTTGATGGCAGTTTTGCAAATACTTTAAGAATGCAGAGTCGATTATCGATACACCAAACCTATTTATAACATTTACAAGAATGCTACAATGACGGTAAAATTGCATGTAAGTACTGACCGAATACCCATTGGGCGTGGGGTAAGACAAGGCGATACAATGTTGAACCCAAATTGATGACAATACCTAAGTAATTTGCGCTACGCGAACGATATAGTCCTTATTTCGGATAGCCTTGGAGAGATGAAACTGATGCTGAACGACTTACAGGAGGTGTGCAAAAGTCGGGCTAAAGATCAACGTAGAGAAATTTATGACAAATCTTGTTCTCAGCTTTAATATCAACATTGGGGATAATGAGACTGAGAGAGTTGATAGTTATGTATATCTTGGCCATGAGGTTCGTGTATCGAGAGCGGTATAGTTCGATGGTTACGAGATTCATAAGCGATATTTCTGTATATTTGAAAAGAAAGGCTTTCAATCAATCCTTCCTCCTTTGGTTATGACATACGGTTCCGAAACTTTAACATTAACGGTGGCCATTACCAGGAGGCTCAAAGTAACACAAAGACAGCTGTAGAGGTCGATGCTGGATGTAACCCTGAGGGACTACATACGAAATGAAAACCTACGAAGAGGATCTGGCGTAAATGATATGGTCAACATTGTGGCAAAACTGACGTGAAACTGGGCGGATCATCGTCGCAAGAATGAAGAATGAGCAGTGGTTGCTTGATTATAATACGTTTTCGATCGCTGACAATTTCTCCTTTTTACTTGTATCACTTTTATATGTACTGCTTTGGTATTTATCCTGAGCCGGGGTAAATACCCGGATAAATACCCATTTTATAAATACCTACCCGCCGGGTATTTACCCAGCGCCCATCACTGCTTAATACACTCCACCAGCGATATGCTTTATTCTGCTGCTCTCCAAGCTGCTTCATTTTTACTGGCAACCTATCCGGAATGCAAAACTTTAAGGATCTGATCCATTAACTCTGTAAACAAAACTAACCACCCTACATTTTTTTACCTGGAGGTCATTGACCCTGTAAACAAAACTGATCTTCCTCGATCTATCTGACATTACGCACTTCCATAATATTACTCCACAACTTTATCTGGAGGTCATTGAGCCTGTGAACAACATTACAGGGACTATTTCGATAAGTACTAGGGCTGTCTGCATTAGTTGAGTTATGATTGTGTCATATTTACCTTAACTTTTTCAGGTTCCACTATTCGTAGAGATTTGAAATTTTGGTAGCATGGATTGTTCATTCGGAAGTTTCGATCTAAAATATTTTCAAGATGGCCGCCACTTCCGGTCTACCGGAAGTAGACCATAACTTCGCTATTTTAAATGGAATGCTATAGTTTTTATTACACAGTTTAATTGTACGTAAAAAAATAGGTTGCACGATTACTCTTCAGATGTTGTCAAATAGATTTTCATTTGTTGTATCCGAGTATCTTATACAGGGTGGTCAAAAATTGAATTACTGTTTCTCCATATTCAATGGCGAGAAAGTAGAAAATTTTAAATGGAACGCCCCATATTTTTTTAGCCTATCACAAGGAGAATTTAATTCTCTGCAAATTATCTATAAACATTCCCGTACCTATTTATTGTAGTTTGCCTCATATTGCGAAATTTATTAAAACATGCACGAAATGCAGGTTTTTTTTATTAGAAAGCTATGGAATTTTGACAGTTTTTGGTCCATGTTTCTATTATTGTTGTCATTAGTTACATTTGACGACGGGTGTAAGTCATTGAACATCATGGTAAATTATTCCAACGCCGATATTTGAAATTTATTTTGTATTGATGGCGAATTTAATAAACTTTTGGACAGAACGTGTCGAACACTTAATGAGAGATGCCTAACAAACCTAACGCCCATCACAAGGAAAAATTTCCAAAAATTGATAAAAAAATTTTTAGTTCTGGATATATCGAGACCAAAAGAAATCGCATATTTCCGGACACCAGTGATGAAGAAAACGCAATATAGTATATTATTCAACAGCCGTATAATGGCGGCTCTTACCCACGAAGATGAGGTTGCAATCTGAGTGGGTAACATTCATTATACGCAAGTTGAATACTTTATCTACAACTATTTAATTTTGAAAAAAAAATCAAAAAAAGGAAAAAAAATAAACTTGATAGACATTTCAGACATAAACTCAATATAAGAAAGCTGTCATTTCTGTTAATATTTTATTTTTTGATTAGTAGGCCATGCCAGAACTGTGGAATAATGGCTTCATTATTCAACACTTTGTCAGTCATGGGTAATGCGTGTCATTACCCTTCAAAAATCAAATGTATAACGAATAGATAATTCAATAGTTGTAGATAATAGTTATTTATATTACAAGTAATCACACGAGTACTGTAATTATTATGCTCTAGCCCACGTGTGATATACAGCATTTTATCTACGACTGCTAAAAATTACTAAAAAATCAATTTCTTTAAAAAAGTCTATTTGACATTTATAAAAATATTTTGAAATGATTGTTGTCAATTTTGAATTGTCAGTTTCAACATGTTTACTCATCTGGAATAAGTGTTTTGAAATGTAAAAACATAACAATTAATGTTTATAATAAATAGTATTGTTTCTCTGTAAGTAGACAGCACTTTTTCTTTTGTATTGTCGCTCGTTTCAATAAATTAAGTCTGTTCTGATTAGGTTAAAAATGAGTTACGTAATGAAACCAGTGCGGTAATGAACTTCATTACGTAACTCAAATCACCTCAAATGAGTGCGGTAATGATGACTTATCCAAGCAGTCGTAGATAAAATATTTTATCGTATTTTATTGCATTTCCAAATTCAATGTAATAACAAATTTATATTATAAATTTATTTTTATTTAAATCTAATTTTTCTCATTAACTTTATGTTTTAATAGTTTCATTTATTTGATTTTGTGTTTGTTATTTCTGGTAAGTAAAAGCTAATAAACTAAAAGATTATCAATCGTAGTTAATAGTACAAATAATAATAGAAATAAATTAAATAAAAAACTCTCAAAATATCATGGCCTTCTAATAAAAATACAAACGGTTTCTTGCATTTTCTGCATGTTTTGATAAATTTACGAATATGAGAGAAACTACAATAAAGAGGTATAGGAATGTTTATAGATAAATTGTAGAGAATTAAAATCCCTTTTGTGTAGGCTAATAAAATATGGGGCGTTCCATTTAAAATTTTCGACTTTCTCTCCATTGAATATGGAGAAACGGTAATTCAATTTTTGACCAACCTGTGTAAGATACTCTGATACAATATATGACAATCTATTTGAAAACATCTGAAGAGTAATCGTGCCAATTTAGAGCTTTTTTCAATGAACGTTGGCTGGGATATAGGGTTTTAAAGAGCATGGTGAAATTTGCCAAAAAAACCTTAAAATCAAAATAACTCGAAAACGAAAAATGCTAGGTACCAATAACTTTTATGAAAGTCAACATCATTTTTTACGTACAATTAATAGGTGCAATAAAAATTATAGCATTCCATTTAAAATAACAAAGTTATGGTCTACTTCCGGTAGACCGGAAGTGGCAGCCATCTTGAAAATATTTTAGATTGAAAGTTCCGACTGAACAACCCATACTACCAAAATTTCAAAACTGTACGAATACTGGAACCTAAAAAAGTTCTAACGAACCAGTTACGTGAGACACCTGTATACCATTTGATTGTCGACGGAAAGCACTCTCTATGCCTATGAAAGCACATAAGGCTATCTGTTTGGTTGCAATTGTTTCTTCTAAAGTGCTTGTCAAAGTATGGAGAGCAGTAGTTGTTGATTTTGCTTTCTGGTAAGCATATTGACTCGGATGGAGTAGATTAGTGACAAGCACTCCATTCTTAAGGTATTGATCAATTACCTTTTCCATCTCTTTCAGGAGAAATGAAGTTAGGCTAAAATTATGTTTAGATTTTGAGAAATATATTTTCAAAGTTACACATTTTTTTTTGGTTTGGAACCAAATTTAAGAATTCATGAAAAACTTATTTCTTAGAAAAAATGTTGTCTGGAATAACTAACTCCGCAGACAAAACTGACCTTTCCCAATCTATGTGATTTTGTATAACGTTCATGACGGATCGATAAGTGTTTCGCGTGTTCATCAACTATCAAAAAATTGTAAATATTAGGCAACAAAAAATCCAAATCAACTTCATAAATTTAATAATCCCTGCTTTAATTATAAGCTTTTGTATTTCTTTTTCGTTATTGCCATCATAATTATGGGCGTTGAAATTGGATGACTCCAACAAAATGGATATTCGCTTATGAATCATGAGTCATGATTCAAACGTGATTTAAGTCAACTTCTTGACTAGAATGAAAAGAATCATTCATTGAAAAAATAATAATTTTTATTGAAAATAAAGCTGTGATTATTATAAAACGGATTTCCTGATCCTCCTGTACTTTTTCTAAATATACAGGGTGTCCCGCAACTATTGTACAATACTGCATCAGCGTATTCTCTGATCGAAAACAGACAAGAAAAGTCTAATAAACATAGGTCCGAAAATGGACCAATTTCGAGATATTCAAAGTTTTAGTTTCATAAGCTGACCTATTGTAAACATCATTAATTCTAACGATTTAGATGCAGTAATTATATGATTACCATGGTTACGATGGTTAAGATAAAGTTTAATAAATAATAAGATAATATTAAGTTAATTAATACAGTTCATTAATAATTTAACAAAACAAGTAACAAAGATTGTCGAAGAAAATCGTTCAACCAGCATAAAAACAACGAATATTTAACAAATTGGAAAAGATTCATGTCATAATAAATGTTCAATATGCGCACCATTTACTTCTAAACACAAACGGATACGTTTTCTAAATGAACTTCTAATGCGTTCAAAGATACCAGGAATTTGTTTTACTGTGTCAAATGCGTTACTAATTTTATTCTTCAAATCCTGCACATTTTGAACGTCTTCAGAATAAACAATTTGTTTTAAATGTCCCCAAAACCAAAAATCTAACGGATTTAAATCTGGTGAACGAGGTGGCCCTCCTCGGCCAATCCACTTATTGCCAAATCTGTTATTTAAGTATGCTCGAGTAGCGCGTGCATAATCGTGCATAAAGTAGCAATCTTCTAGAATTTGTTGAGGTAATTCATCAAATGCCTCTGTAAGGTCATTTTGTAAAAAATGTATGTAGGCATCGGCTGTCAATCTCTTTGGAAGAAAAAATGGACCTAATAACTGATCACCTATAACTCCAGCCCATACATTAACACTGAATCGCCACTGATGATGAGTTTCTAGTATTGCATGGGGATTTTCATCGCTCCAAACGTGCGCATTATGAATATTAAAAATTCCGCTTTGAGTAAATGTTGCTTCATCCGTAAATACAATGTTTATGGGAAAGTCGACGTTTACTACCTCTTCCTGTATGGCCCACCTACAAAAAATCTCTCTTTTTTCGCCATCATTTTCTGTTAGAGCTTGAACGGTGTTGTAATGATAAGGATAAAGCAACTGCTCCCTTAAAATGCGGTGAACGGTTGTTTTGTTAATGTTTTCTTGTGCAGAAATTCTTCTAATGCTGGTTGAGGCATTTTCATCGACTCTTCTCAAAACTGCTTCTTCTAATTCCACCGGCCTTGTGTAATGTCTCTCCGTGGAATGGCTGTGGGTTACGCTTCCCGTTTCTTTTAATCTGAGAAATAGTCTGCTAAAGGTGTGACTATTAGGCAATCGTCTGTTCGGGAACCTTTGCGCGTAATGACGAGCTGCTAACGACGCATTTCCATCAGCTAGTCCGTAACAATACACCATATCCGCCATCTCTTCCTTGGAGTAATTAATAGGAGCCATACTTAATAGTTTTATTAAATTAAATAGTAAAATAATAATTTCGTGAAGTATTATTATTTTTTTTTGATTAGACAACTTATCGTAATCATAGTAACGACTTAATTATTATAAAAACAAATTTAAATTCATGATGTTAACAATATCAACTTATGAAACTAAATCTTTGAATATCTCGAAAATGGTCCATTTTCGGACCTATGTTTATTAGGCTTTTCTTGTTTATTTTTGATCATAGAATACGCTGATGCAGTTTTGTACAATCGTTGCGGGACACCCTGTATAATACGATATTGACATTTAAATTTAGTTGTTTAGGATTATTCTTTGTTATATAAATTATGAAAAATTATTTTTTTTTGTAAACAGTTAAGTTCAGCGGCTAAAGTGGAAAGATGGTTCGAATTGATTGAGCCGTTATCAATATCACGCCCGGAAAGTGGTTTTGTATCGTGTCAAGATCAAGATGCAGAAGACGACGAAGAAAAAGCTATTTTAGAAGGGACGAGATCGTTACTATCGAAATTAAGCGCTAGAAAACAACGTAAACTTTTAGGTTATAAATTAGGAAAGGTAACTACATTTTGACGATTTTAGAATTTACATAGTTGACGAAATAGGATTTTTATATAAGTACATTATATAAACGAGTACATTTTATAATTAAAATCCGTTAATTATAATTATGTCGAAATATTTTCTACAAAGATATAATAAGTTCTATATTGTAGTTATTAATTTTAGTATTTTTTTACTTTTGTATATCAATTCATTCCAGATCCAGTAACATACTGCCATACTCCTAGTATTTAACAGCATTACCCAGTTATTTTCATTACTAAGTAAACACTGAATCGAATACTAGGGTTCTGTATAATATTTATTTATCCGTTTTATATAATTTATAATAGACATGTATTTATTTTATTAACGAATCCGAAGCGAAATAAAAGACTTACAAATACATTCACTCTAAAGTCTATTCTATTAATAATAACTTTTTAACATTAACTATTAATTTTAAAATAGAATCTGTGAGAAATAATTATAATTTTTAATTAAAAAAAACTTAACAGTACTAATAATAATTAAAGAATAGGAATAGACCAAAAAAACGAGATCAGAAACTCGAAAATCGAAATATTAATCTAATTAGAAAATAAGAAATCGTATTAAAAATCGCTGATCTCTTTATTTAAAAAAAAATAATTATTTCTACTTAAATTAAGTCTAAAATGTCTTTATTTCGTTAGGTAAATTAGTCATTGACAGCTTGGCAAATTTATCTTGGCCAGTCAGTCAAACATTCCAAGATGAGCTGAAAAAATCATATCAGCAATGTTTATCGAAAATAAGAAATTATTTATAGTGCATTAAATTTGCTTTAAAATATTCTTTATTTTATCATATTTCATTTCTGTAATAACCAAATCTATTTGTTCTAGATAGATTTGCCAAGTTGTAATCATTTTAGGTACTTTTCTTGATTTGTTTAATTGTGACACTCAGTGTGGTTTTTCAAAACGAAAAAGTTACTTTTTGAGTTTTTCATGATTGTGTGATTGATATACTAAACTAATTTATATCATTAGTATATCATACATGACTGATTTTTATATATAATTTTTAAATAATTAAATAAAAAAATCATTTTTTTATTACAAATTTTGTTTTTTTTTTCAACCCCCGTCGTATTTTCCATTCCCTTGAGAAAATCTGGTTCGTCATCAAGTTTTAATCAACAGGTTGACCAATCCCATTCCCATTTTTAACGCTCTCCCACCTTAATTTTTGATTACGCGCTAACGTTCGCGCAATTTTCACTCTTAATAATCATTAATGTTCCCGTTTCGTTGCTCGGGGGCTGGTTATTAAAGCACTTTGAACTTCCGGCGAACGGGTTGGGTTTCAGGGTTTTTCATCGTTGGGTGGGTGGCGACTGAAGGTGCGCCTTCATGTGACTAGATTATCTTAACGTGTGTGTACGTGTGTGACAACGCGTTATCGCAAAAACCCCTGTAAAATTTACCATCGTTCTCAGTTGCTTTGAAGTCATCGACAAACCAACGACAACCTTAATAAACCGAGTAATTATAAATGAAAAAAAAATATTTTAAATTATTAAACATATATTTTTAGAGAATGGATCAAGATAATAGTGATAAAGAAAGCGAATTATCGCGCGGCAGTAAGAAAATTCAAATGAAAGATCCCCCCGTTGGTATACTGCGCACGGAATCGTGGAAATCGAGACCTTCATCAAGCGAATTTCGTTACTTATCTCAGGTAGTAATTTCTTACATCACACCTACAAGAAAATAGATTATTCTTTACCCTATATTTTTCATTCCCTTTTTTTTTCAAAACACCCCTAATACATTAGACTTTAACACGCGACGAAATAGAGAAGCGTCCGCACAAAAAGCTTTAATTCGCTGGCGGTTTAATTCCCTTAAAGTTCCTTTGAAAGCTCATCAACATACCACGATTTTATCTGAAATAAGGAGCATTTGGGTTTTTGTTTATCCGACAATTTACCACTCCTTTCATTTGCACGTATTTTACCGCAAAAACGAAAAGGGGAAGAAGACGCGTCCCTGATTACATTTGGCGAGCTTTTATGTAATTAAACAAGCGGCGGCTACGGGGATAAGCTTTAGAACGCCTGTACAATTTTGTGGGAAATTGTGTTTGCTTGGGAGTGGCAGCACAGGCTCACGTCTTTTTTTGGGTATGCTTAATTTGTTTGTTTTGGTTTATTTTTCAACTAACATGAATAATTTAAATTTAATTGTTTGTTACCAAACAACCATTTTTGCTGTGTTAAAACTAGATTAAATTTACTATAAAATGTTTTGTATTTCATATTAATATCTCAATTATTTTCTGAGATATGAGCATTTCAAATTTTATATTTACGATCTTAAAGTGTCATAAGTGGATATACAGAGGTGTAATTAATAAGCATTTATTGTTTTTGATAATTACAATTTTCCCCTTAATACATCCTAATATAATATACCGATTGGTAACTTTAATTTTAGGAGATACACCCAACACGGACGTACGTATAAGTATACTTGTGTGTGTGCATATGCGCGCGGAGTATGTTTGTGGGAGGGGAATCGCAAGAGTAGTGGATCGGAGAGCAGTCAGTCGTTTGACATCGTTCAATGATAAGAAATATTATAAAAATAATAACTAATATAATAAATGAAATTCAAATAAGACAAAGCAAATTCTTAATTCTAAAAATAAAAACAATTCGTAAGTAACTGAAATAAACTTTGTAAAACAACAAATAAAACAAAAAACTATAAAAATAAAATATTTTTTATATTAGGTGTTCAAATAAACCACCATTCTGTGCTAAACAATAGCCCAATCTATCGTAAAAAGTTCGCCTTACATTCGCTAGTATATCGGGACTAATATCCTGTATACAATTGCGAATTTTTGTTTGTAAGTCATCCAGATTGGTTGTCCTTTCTTCATCAAAACCATAAATTTTCGATTTTAAATATCCCCATAGAAAAAAATCATTGGGGGCTAAATCTGGTGATCTAGGCGGCCAAGTTAACGTTCCGCAAATAGATATTACACGATTTGGAAATTGTGCGTTAAGATACTCTTTAACTTGCCGGCTGTTGTGAGCCGGGCAACCATCTTGTTGGAACCAGATACTTCCAAATTGAACATTGTCTAATTGTTGAAGCGATGGGATTACGTCATTTTGCAAAATGTTTAAATACTTATGACCATTTAAATTTCCTTCTATGAAAAAAGGACCGATAATATGGTCACCTACTAAGCCAGCCCAAACATTTAATTTTTGGGGATATTGTGTACGAGCCGCATAAACTTTGTGTTCATTGTCACGACTCCAAT